CCCCAATCCCCATCCACTCGCACCCCTCGACAGGCTAGGACGTCGTTGGACACTAATGTTCATTACCTCTCTGAGCGCTGTATTCGCTGTAGGGCTCCTGGTCACTGTGTTATGGGGTAATCTGTGTCCTTGTCTTGATCGTTTATCTCTTGGTTTTTGTTTTGCGTTTCTTTGTGAGTGTGGTTTTTAAAAAATTATTTATCTATTCTTTTAAGTTTGCGTAGTGCAGTATGTACTTATTTCGCTTATGCGCACTTTTTAGGCGTTATGTTCATTTTTGGGTTTATCTGTTTCTCAAGGGAGTGTTTCTTTCTACTTTATTTGTGTGTATACTTTGTTTCGTTTGATTTTTCTGTTTCTTTTTGTTAGATCTCTTTCTATTTAACATATCTGCGTCCTTTTTTTTATATTATGCATCTTTGGGCCAAATTAGCCTAAAATCCTCCCAAATAAAGCATAATTTAGTACTACATTGTTGAGAAAAGTACACAATAAAGAGGAATGACTTGCCTTAGAAAAGCAAAATAGCTTTCACGCAGCTAAATGGTTTAATTAAAAATAATAAATTTGTTCTGCCCTCACAATCTATCACAATATTGATGGGAAAGTGGTATTTTGTTGTGTTTTTTTGGAGGGGGGTTTGAGGGGTGTCTTGTGACACTTTTATTCCGAAAGCTGGGATAATGTTGTCCTGTGATCATTAGAAACCTGTGATATTGCTGTCTTGTGATAATGGTATGTCAGAAACGTAGTAATAATCTTTTTTTTCTGTTATAATCAGAAAGAAGTGGTAATATTGCCCTGCGGATAGTTACAAAGCTGTGGCCTGTCTATTGTTGTCCTGTGTGCTTGTAAGTCAGAAAGCCTTGATTGTGTTGTCATGTGTTGATCAGAAAGCTACTGGGATAATAGTGTATCAAAAATCGGTGGAAATATTGCCCAGTGACAACCAGAAAGCAAATGATGCTGCTCTATTATAATCTATATTTCATAAAGCTGAGGTAGTAATAACATCGTCGCATGATAATCAGAAAGCTATGATAACATTATTTTCTGTGATAACGGGATACAAGAAGAAAGCCATTGTCATAACTCTGTGTTTTCCCTCCCTCCTAGTGCCGGACCCACACAGAGGCACAGCTATCAACGTCCTGTGTCACTGCACAAAGGTGGGCCTATCGGTGGCCTGGAGTCCTCTGATCACGTGGACAGCAGAACTCTACCCGACAACTACCAGGAACCTGGCGTACGGGTTCACCAGTACCATGAGCAGACTGGCAGGAATACTGGTGCCCTTTGTCATGGACTTTGTGAGAGCTCAGATACACTCATATTAACTAATAACAGTAGTAAAACAATAGTAAAATAGTAAAATGGTAATAGTCACACTAGTGAAAATGATATAAACGATCATCATCATCAGCAGCATTATCATCATCATCATCATCATCATCATCATCATCATCATCATCATCATCATCATCATCATCATCATCATCATCATCATCATCATTATTATCAGCTTTACTACTCTCACTATGATCACTGTAAGTAATATGAATATTATTGTTCATTGAATTGATTTCAGGATGTGGCGGCAAGACTGTAGCCCATCTTAAAAAGAGCGGCAGGGGGGGGGGGTCTTCATTCCTGGTACCAAAACACAGGGCCTGTGTGCTTGGCGTGTTTAGATATGACCCGACTACTTGATCCTACGTTTCTTTAGTTGGAACCGTCCTCAGTTACGAAGTGGTCCATGAACCTAGCTAGCTGTGGCTGGAGAATATGATGATTTCGCGTCATCTTTAGCTGAGACGTGATGTGTCTCGACACGGTGGAATCAGACGCTCGTCAGCTGTTGTTTTTTAAAATATTGTTGTTGCTGTTGTTGTTGTTGTTGTTGTTGTTGTTGTTGTTATTGTTGCTGTTGTTGTTATTGTTATTGTTGTTATTGTTCTGTTGTTGTTGCGTTGCTGTTGTTTTGGCTTATCGAGTTCTTTATATAAAGTAAGAGCTTGTTCATTTGCCTTGCTTTTGATGAGAAAAATACTTGTCTATCCGGAATAAAAGTCGAGATATTTCCGATTGAAAGACGTGTGGTCGCCTGGTATCTATAGCAAATTTCACGAAAAAATTACCGCTAAAATTAGGGAACTTCCAAAGCTTGAGAGTCCTCGGAAACCGCAAATTTACATTTTTTGTGCCTTTAATCGCGTCGTTTTTATTCAATAAAAATCCACCCAAAAAATACGTTTTTTTAGTGAATGTGAAAGGCGTTGAGCCAAAAAAAATCGATAAAAATTGTCCAACAGGCAGAAAAACGTCAGTTACAAAAACGTCAGTTTCTTCGATTACATTATTTTGACCAGCGCCTGATTTCACCTCGATGCCATATATATATACACATATATTTATAATATGTTAGTAGGGTGTAACCACTTGATAAAAAGAGAGGCTGAAAAGACAGATGAAAGTATCGTCAAACGCTTATAAGAAGCCTGTTCTTTACTCTACTGGGAATATTCCAGAAGTAACTCCTTTTGTGTCCATACGTTCCGCCAGCTACCCGTGACCTACATAACTGTCCTCATGACCTACATCAGTGAGATCGTCTTGGGTAAGGTATATTATTTTAAACACCATTTTCTCGTCTTTTCATCGGTCCTTGCAGCACAACAGGCAATCGATGAGAGTGAGAAGCAGGCAGGTGAGAAAAGAAAGGTTAAATGAGGAATTTCTGAAAAATTACACTTTTCCCAGTTCCCAAAAATAAAAGATTGGCAGGGGGAAAAACTGAATAGATCTAAGTACCAAAAATCGATTCAACGAATTTTTTGGTAATATAACTTTTTTTTCAGAGATGATGAAGATGAACAGCATTATTTTAGAAATAAACAAGTAAATCCGTGGTTAGAAAAAAAAAACGATTGACAGCCTTGGGTGACTAACACGAGATTTTGACGTGAATAGTTTTTATTCAAATGGTCAAGAGAATCACTTGACGACGATATCTTACAAAAAAATCGCTTTAGTATCTTGATGAATCATCATATATTCCTCTCTCTCTCTCTCTCTCTCTCTCTCTCTCTCTCTCTCTCTCTCTCTCTT